GATAACCCATTTGCCTCCCCCTAAAAAGGGAAAATAACTTGTGTGGTAGAAAATTGGTAGCAGAGTCCGCTCAAGGTCACGCTTGCAGTTAAGAAGAGAGTGGCCTTGGTTTTGTGGACCATCCTGGCTTTTATCTCCTGGCCTACACCGTTATGAACTGAGGACTGTACCTCACTTCCCTTAAGTAACTACTGTTTAAAATGATCAATTGTGTGAAGAATTGCTTGGGCTCTGTGCTCTGGAAGTCAGTAGACTTTATTTAAGTCCTTGGGAACTGAGATATGTTTAAGAAAATATTAGGTGGAGGGAAGGAAGCAGCCAAGTGGTCAGAGAATTTTAGTCTTGAAAATGGACACTGGGAATAATTAATTGAAAATAGAAAATTAATGTTTTCTAACTTCAGTGATTTGTGTACCTCCTTTATGGTTTTTGCCATATCATTGAACCTTCGATGTACTATTTACTTGAACTCCAGACTCAGGAAGATCTGGGTTTGAATACTGTTTCTGCCACCTTTTTGTTTTTTTTGGTAAACTGAAAGCAAGTTTATTAAGAAAGGAATAAAATAGAGCAGTCTGTTTCTGCCACTTATAAGATGGGTGACTTTGGGCAGGTCACTCCATGTCTGAGCCCCAGTTTTTATTGTCTTAAAATGGAAATAATAAGGCCGGGCACGGTGGCTCACCCCTGTAATCCCAGCACTTTGGGAGGCTGAGGCGGGCAGACCTCGAGGTCAGGAGTTCGAGACCAGCTTGGCCAACATGGTGAAACCCCATCTCTACTAAAGATACAAAAATTATCCGGACATGGTGGTGCATGCCTGTAACCCCAGCTACTCAGGATGCTGAGGCAGGAGAATCTCTTGAACCTGGGAGGCAGAGGTTGCAGTGAGCCGAGAACCTGCTAGAGAATCAGGGTGAGGAATAAATGAGATAGCATATTTAAAGTGGTTTTAGCAGAGTAGCACTCATTACATTTTAATTCTATTTTATTAGGCATTTAAAATCATTTTTTGGAACAAGGTTGTATGTGGAAGAATGAAGGAGTATATTGCTTCTTTACAGTATAGTGTAACATAGTCTACACCATAGTATAAATGTGATTTATACATTGTAATGTTGAATTTATACCCAACATTTGTTTAACCAGGGTTCAAATGCAGTTTCCTCACTTCAGAGCTGTATGTCAACTGTTATTCTGTACTACTTCTCTCATAGTGGAAATTTCTCAAATTGTAGATAATGAGGTAAGCATGAATTAAGAAGAAACCTGAAAGGCTTAGTCACATTTTGGAAGAACACTTGTTGATTTAATCTAAATTAGGAATAGGAAGCTGTTGTAACACTTTATCATGGCAACTTTGGAGGAAAAAATGACATGAAACTACTACATACGTTAGAAGGCAGGCCAAGGACTCAGGAATACAGTTTAGCTACTTCAGAAGGAAGAGGAAAGGGCCAAGTGTGGTGACTTACGCCTGTAATCCCAGCACTTTGGGAGGCCAAAGTGGGTGGATCACCTGAGGTCAGGAGTTTGAGACCAGCCTGCCCAACATGGTGAAACTCCGTCTCTACTAAAAATATAAAAATGAGCCAGGCATGGTGGCACGTGCCTGGAATCCCAGCTACTCAAGAGGCTGAGGCAGGAGAATTGCTTGAACCCAGGAGACGGAGGTTGCAGTGAGTCGAGACCACGCCCCCGCACTCCAGCCTGTGTGACAGAGCAAGACTCCGTCTCAAAAATAAAATAAGGAAGGTAAAAGATCTGGAAGCCCAGAGGCGTCATTTAAAGGGAGCTGGTATAAGGTCATATAGAGCTTGTGTTTGGGGTCCTGTCTTTTTATTTTGTTTTGTTTTGTTTTTGAGTCAGTCTCTCACTCTGAGATGAGTGTGGCTGTGTTCTAACAAAACTGTAATTACAAAAGCAAGTGGTTCACCAGCTGTAGATTGCCAAGCCCTGACCTAGACTACAGTAATGTCTCCTAAGACTGAGTCTGGCTTGGACTATCTTTTCCTTCCTTTCTTCTTCCTATCTTGTCTCCTCACAGTCAAGGGGATCTTTTTTGTTGTTTCCTAGAGATGGGGTCTCGCTCCATCTTCCAGCTGGAGTGCGGTGGCTCGATCATAGCTCACTGTAACCTTAAACTCCCCGGCTCAAGCAGTCCTCCTGCCTCAGCCTCCTGAGTAGCTGGAACGACAGGAATACACCACCACGCACAGCTAATTTTTTATTTTTTGTAGAGATGGGGGTTTCGCTGTGTTGCCCAGGCTGGTCTAGAACTCCTGGCCTCAAGCAGTCATCCCGCTTTGACCTCCCAAAGTGCTGGAGTTACCTTTGCTAGCCACCATGCTCTTGGCTGGGGATCTTTTAGAAGCATAAATCAGCAAGTTACTCTCCTGCTTAAGACTTGTATTAGCTGCCCATCAGCCTTCCTATAAAGTCTGAGCTCCTCACCATGACCTGAAAGGGTCCAGTGTGAATCTACCACCTTTGGAACATATCTAGTTCCTTCCGCGCTGGCAAGATTGACTTCTTTTCCAGACTCATACCTACCAAGCTTGCTCCTGCCTCAGGGTGTTTGTACAAGTTCCTCTGTGTAGAACATACTTTCTCAGATTTTTATGTAGCCAGCTCCTCATCGTCACGTAGGACTCAGATGTCACTCCTCACAGTGGCCTTCCCGTTCACCCGTTCATTTAAAGCAGCTTCCTAAGCATGCTCTGTGTGACATTATCTTCTCTTATTGTGGTAATGCTTATCACCTGCCGAAATGATCAGTTTATTGATTATCTGGTTTACCTTTAACTTCCCCCAGCTGCTGACTCTTAAGTACCAGGCCTGGTGGTTCTCCCTCACCACAAAAGCTCCAGTGCCTCAAAAAGCCCATCACACAGTAGGTACTTAACATTTATTGGGTGAATTGCCTTGTTTTGCAACCATAGTGTAGTATTTTGGTGTGCTCAAGTATTCCTCTGCCTTCAGGGATCTTACTATCTTTTCAAAAACTATGAACTATGTGGTATTACCCTGGGGCATCATGCAGAGAGGAAGGAGACTTGCCTCAACATCACACAACTCATAAATGTAAGGGATGATGTCTGCTCTTTAAATCCTGCATTTGGTTTTCAGTATCATGATTGTCTTTGGTTGGTTGGTTGTTTCAGGTAATTTCTGTTGGTCCCAATAGGTCTGAGACTTCTGGGAACATTTGGACTAGCTCAGAGCTACCACTGAAGACTTTGCTCTGGGGGACAGCTGTGCTAGCTGCCCCCGATAGACCCCTGTTTTTTAACTTTAACTGAGGGACTAACATCAAGAGCAGTTGCTGTAAATATTCCTTTGGTTAAATGAAAGAGTTACTTTCTTATGAAGATCACATATAATTTCCTGCTGAGAACAGAGTAGATAAGTAAGAAGTTCTGCATACCATTTGTTTCTGGGGGAAATTTTTAACAGCTGTGTTCTGTCCTTTCACTGACAATAAATATTAAAAGTTGAAATAGCTGTTAGAGATCATCTCCCTTTCTCTGCTGCAGGAATCCTTCTGGAATTGTTTGGACACTTCCAGTAAAGACAAGCTTATGTTACATCTCTATAGATCACACATCAGTTTATAGAGATTAAAGTTTATAGGATGGGTGTATTCCTAAGGAATTGTCCGGCCGGGCACCACGACTCACACCTTTGAGCCATGGGATTAGCCAAAGTGCTAGTTCCAGCACTTTGCGAGACTGAGGCAGAAGGATTGCTTGAGCTCAGGAGTTCGAGACCAGTCTGGGCAACATATTGAGACCTCATCTCTATTAAAAATTTAAAAAAATAGGCCAGGCGCTGTGGCTCATGCATGTAATCCTAGCACTTTGGGAGGCCGAGGCAGACAGATCACCTGAGGTCAGGAGTTTGAGACCAGCCTGGCCAATGTGGTAAAACCCCGTCTGCTAAAAATACAAAAATTAGCTGGGCGTGGTGTTACACGCTTGTAATCCCAACTACTTGGGAGGCTGAGGCAGGAGAATCGCTTGAACCCAGGAGGCAGAGGTGACAGTGAGCTGAGATCATGCCATTGCACTCCAGCCTGGGTGACAAGAGCAAAGCTTCATCTCAAAAAAAATAAATAAATAAATTTTAAAAAATTTAGCTGGACATGGTGGTGCATACCTGTAGTCTCAGCTATTTGGGAGGCTGAGGCGGGAGGATCACTTGAGCTTGGGAAATTGAGGGTACAGTGAACAATGATCACATCACTGCATTCCAGCCTGGATGACACAGTGAGACCCCTTTGTCACATTTGAGCACACAAGGCCATTCAAATATTCTTGGGGAATTTGTTGCATAAGCGAACCCTGTGAGAAAACCTAAACTTTCTGAAGAAAGTTCTTCAATTGTTGGCTTGCTTTTTTTTTTTTCTTAAGATGTGACATGCCTATATATTAAGAGGTGACTTAAAACTACTAATTTGCGGCCGGGCGCAGTGGCTCACGCCTGTAATCCCAGCACTTCGAGAGACCAAGGCGGGCGAATCACTTGAGATTGGGGGTTCAATACCAGCCTGACCAACATGGAGAAACTCCGTCTCTACTAAAAATACAAAATTAGCCGGGCGTGGTGGCAGATGCCTGTAATCCCTACTTGGGAGGCTGAGGCAGGAGAATCGCTTGAACCCGGGAGGCAGAGGTTGCGGTGAGCCAAGATCACGCCGTTGCACTCCAGCCTAGGCAACAAGAGTGAAACTCCATCCCAAAAAAAAAAAAAAAAGAAAAAGAATACTAATTTGTTTGTAGAGACACATTTTTGAAAGTACTCTGAAGACACATTATTATTAAGACCAAAAGAAAACTCACTTAACAGTGAAAAGTGTTTGTGCTCTTGTGGTGCTGCCTTCCATTAATCTAGGTCAGGGGAGAAATGGGATAACAGCCCTTTAAAGAGGACACTTGTCTTTCTCCCTCAGATAGAGCCATGGTTTGTTACTGAGTGTTTAAATCTGATTCTCTCTGTAGATTGCTGCTAAAATTGATTCAATTCCTCACTTGAATAATTCCACACCTCTAGTGGACCCCTCAGTATATGGATATGGAGTACAAAAACGACCCTTGGATGATGGAGGTAAGTTGCCAGAAATATCTTTGCCTTTCAGGTGGTAGTGAACCTGCCAGTTAAGTTTGAATTTGTCAGCCATTACCTTAACGACTCTCTGAAGTGTCACTCTGTCGAGAGGAATGGTTGAAGGGAAGTATTTAGGATGATTTTTCGCAGCAGTCCTTCAGCATTTGAGTTCCTATTTGCCTTGATAATACAGAAATCTTTTCACTGGGCTCTGAGATAAAGACTTGGCCCCTGAGCATCAGCTTGGAAGTAATTTGACCTATTTGAGAATTTTGTTTGATTTAGCCCTCTGTTCTTCAGTGCGCGTGGGAATTGAAGTTCCCACTTTCTCCAAAGAAAGCTACGATTTGGTGCATGCCTCAAGGGAAGCTGTGGCTACATCTTGACCTTAAAGAGAAGAATGGTGACCTTTCTACAGTCTGGCTGCCAGATTTTTCACCATTCCCATTTATGTCAGGCTTTTTCTAGAAGCATCCCTTTTCTTTAATTCATTTATTTGTTTGTTGTTTTGTTGGCTGGTTTATATACCCTACTCCATCCCCAAAAGAATTTGAGAACACTTAGAAGGGGCCATCCCCAGCACTCTGGCAGAGTTATCTATCAGATGTGTTTCTGTAGAGAGCTTGGGCATCTTTATCATATTTTGTCTCCTGTTACTATAGAAGAGATAGTGAAATACACTAGATTGACATGAATTTGCATGTAGTCAAGTGAGTCGGTGTCTTCTCTGTGTTCTTTTTCTGTCGCTGTGTACCCAGTCATTTATGTTTGTACATATTTCTATGGTGTATTATGTGAAAAATGAAGGTGTAGAGCAGTATGTATTGTATAATCTTTTCTCCCAAAAGTGCATGTTTTTATGTACATAGAAAAATATAATTTGCCATGAATCATTTCTCTGGTCTCTAGGAATTCTGGTTTTCTTCTTAATCCCCCCTTAGCGATGGGATCACACTCTGCTCAGGCTAGAGTGCACTGGCGCTGTTGAACTCCTGGGCTCCAGTGATCCTCCCACCTCGGCCTCCCAAGTAGCTGGGACTACAGGCATGAGCCACCGCGCCTCCTAGTGCATTTTAAAATTCTCCAGTTCATAGACTTGTTCACAAATCTCAATGTCCTGAATAAACCCGATGTTAAGGTTCTTTTTAGTTAACTTAAGAGTTGAAGTATTTTATTTTATTTATAATTTTTGTGACTGCATAGGTGTATATATTTATGGGGTACATGAGATGTTTTGATGCAGGCCTGCAATGTGAAATAAGCACATCGTGGAAAATGGGGGTATCCATCCCCTCAAGCATTTATCTTTTGAGTTACAAACAATCCAGTTACTCTCTTTATTTTAAAATGTACAATAAAGTTATTGTTGGCTATAGTCACCCTGTTGTGCTATCAAATAGTAGGTCTTATTCGTACCCATTAACTCCCCTTGCCCACCTCCCTGAGCCCCTTTTGCCCCCTACTACCCTTCCCAGCCTCTGGTAACCATCCTTCTACTCTCTGTGTCCATGAGTTCAACTGTTTTGATTTTTATATCGCATAAATAAGTGAGAACATGTAATTTTTGTCTTTCTCCACCTGGCTTATTTCACTTAACATAATGCTCTCCAGTTCCATCCATGTTGTTGCAAATGACTGGATCTCATTCTTTTTTATGGCTGAGTTGAAGCGTTTTTAAATAGACCCAAATAACACCTCCAAAAAGTTCTAGAGGACTGAACTTCAACCTCCTAAAGGTTAAAGAACCCTGCTTCAAGGGAAAGTTAGAAAGTTCATATTGCTAAAGAAGTGGTCTGGTAGCCTCTGTCAAAGATAACCCAAGCCAAACCAAACAAACAGCTACACAGCCTTTGGAAATCTTTATTGCTAAGAAAAATGTGCCAGAATTCCGGCGGCTTGGTCTGCCTCTGCTTTTCTAAACTTTTCATCACAACATCAGCAAGACTGTGAGCCCAGAAGGCAGCCAGGTAAACATGAACATCACTTCCCTTCACAGGATCTGCTTGTTCACATTCTTACTCTCTTAAGAGAGTGGCCCAGTGACCTTCCCCCTACCAGAAGACAAGTGACAAAATGGGGCTGTGGCAGTCCCCAGACGCTGAGACCAACGCAGAATTCAAATTCTACACATGGAGAAGAGCTTGGAGAAGAAAACAATATGTGTAATCCTGTGATTTAAACAGTGCTCCCCAGAAGACAGGATTCATTTTATCGAGCTCTAATGCAGAATGTAAGAAGCCTGAGGGAAATTCCTTTTTCTTCAAATACAGCCTGTGGTCACATAAGACCAGGTGTTCAGGGAGGAGAGGAGGTTCAGCACGACGCAGAAACTTTTCTTCTTGCTATAGGAGGGGTTCATATTTAGAGGGAAGAAAAAGATAAACCAAGGTCATTTTCTGTTTGTAAAGACTTACTCCCCAAAAGGTAGACATGGAAAAAAATATGGTTATCAAAACAAAGAGGTGAAAAGACGCAATATACTAATGAACCCGAGGTTTTAAGTGAGATTCTGGACCTACGGGGTGATCTTGGCCAAGTCAACTACATCTGCCTGTGACCCAGTTCTCTTTGTCAATACTGATAATGTCTTTATTAGTGCTAATTTCTTTCAAATGTGTGGGCAATGGACTAATGGGAGAAAAATGTCTGCAAAATGCTAGAGGGCTTCATTTGCAAATATTTAGGTATTCCTTATGCAGAGGACACAGCAGATACCTGCTCACTGCAAGCACAGGTTTTAACACTTCAACTCCACACAGTGAGTGAAAAAAACAAGGCTGAATTGTGAAATTGTTGTGAAAGGCTGAATGAGTTGTGAAATATATTGATTTCGATTTCTGGAAACACTGGGCCAAAGAGACACTGTCCTTTAATGGGCTATGTGCACGGGGCAGACAACTTAGTTTTTACTTCGCTGTCTCCCAAGAGGAACCAAAGTATGATTCCCCCGAAAAGATAAAAAGGTTAATTTGCATTACAGCTTTCTGCTAAGGCAAAAATGCCGATAATGCAGTCACCCCTATTTGGCCTAGGGAGTCACGAACACCAGTCAACTATAAAAAGATCACAGCTTGTTATTTTGGATAAGCAGTTTAAATGGTTATCTTAGTTCCGGTGGCCCTGGGGTGAATTTTCTGTTTTGTGATCATAAACTCTGTAAATACACAAGAACTTTTACAATCAAATGAGTGCTGTCCCCTTAAAATCTTCAGTGTGAGTCTCAAGAATTTTCCCTCAAAGCTCCCACATCTAAAAACAACAGCCATCTCCTCCTAGAATTCCTAGAGATGCCCGACATGGTGGCTCACACCTGTAATCTCAGCTACCCAGGAGGCTGAGGTAGTGTGAAAGCTCGAGCCCAGGCATTCGAGGCCAGCCTGGGCAACATGGCAAAACCATATCTCCGAAAAATAAATATTTAAGGCCGGGCACGATGGCTCACGCCTGGAATCCCAGCACCTTGGGAGGCCAAGGCGGGCGAATCATGAGGTCAGGAGATTGAGACCATCCTGGCTAACACGGTGAAACCCCGTCTCTACTCAAAATACAAAAAATTAGCTGGATGCTGTTGCCTGCGCCTGTAGTCCCAGCTACTTGGGAGGCTGAGGCAGGAGAATCACTTAAACCTGGGGTGTGGAGGTTGCAGTGAGCCAAGATCGCACCACTGCACTCCAGCCTGGGCAGCAGAGCGAGACTCTGTCTCAAAAAATATGTATATATGTGTGTGTGTGTGTGTGTGTGTGTGTGTGTATATAAAGGTTTTTTTTAATGTGGTAGGCAGTGGAACAAGGGGAAGGATTTGTTCCTGATATAGAAAAGGGATTTGGGTTAGTTGTGTTTCAGGGAGTGGCGGTTTTGAGCTGGCTGTCAGAATGCTGTTCATGAGCCTGCTTAGAACCCAGAGCAGAATTTAGAGCTCAGTGTGAAACCTTGCCTGGATGCCTCTCCCTGGGAGGTAGCTGTCACCAGTCACTCCACCGCCCTCCAGCTTTGGATCAGGCCATTTTAACCTTCCCTGTCTTCAATCTTGACACCCACATGTTCCAGCAGTCTTTGATAAGCATCCTTGGCACCCCACCAGTTCAGGAATCTGCCTTCTGGTCTCAGTTGTGGCACCTTTTCCATCCAGTACGTCTCTCATGCTTCAGCTGGAGCATCTCCCTGCAGCCAGTCCAACCAGTTTCATTCCTCCAGTAGCCAGGGAGGTGCAGATCTTCCAACCTGGCCGTCGTCTGCCCTCCCAGCTTGGCTTCTCCCGTGCACCCTGTACAGCAGCCTGGACGGCTGTCTCTTCTCTCTCCCCTCTCACCCAGCTCTTAACCTGCCCCACTCCTGCTCAGCCAGCTTCCTCCTAGAAACTATCCTCTTCTGTATCTTCTGACTTTCTTCAGTGCTCAGCCCACATGCCACCTAGCCTCTTGGTCTTCTCTCTACCCTTTCCTTCCTTCCTTCCTTCCTTCCTTCCTTCCTCCCTCCCTCCCTCCCTCCCCTTTTCCCTTTTCCCTTTTCCCTTTTTCACACACCCACCTCACTAGTGAATATTAAGTCATATCCTTCTCTTAATTTCTAAAGTAGTGTGTTTGGCCTCTGCTTGGGGCAGACAACATCCCATCCTTCCTTCTGCGGTTTCTGGGTCCCGCCACGCACCTCTCCTAGCAGAGCCTACGTAATGTGGCCGTAGATACTGGCCTCATTTCCCGTGGACTCTTCATGCTCAAGTTCCCCCGTTTCCTACGATTAGCATTTTAAAATTTTGGAAAAAGTAACTTCCAAATTTAAGAGAATAATATTAGCTAAGTGATTTAGAAGTGCAAATTTAAATGTAATCTAAATTAGAGGTTGGCAAGCTCTTCTTTTCTTTTTTCTTTTTTTTTAAGACAGGGTCTTGCTGAGGCTGGAGTGCAGTGGGGCAATCATGGTTCACTGCAGCCTCTACCCCCCAGACTCAGGTGATCCTCCCACCTCAGCCTCCTGAGTAGCTGGGACTGCACTGCACCTGG